ACGATTTAGACATCATATTACCATACTTGTTCATCTTTTTCTTCTCTAAACTTTGATATGTTTTTAAAACTCTCTTTTTCATGTCTTTTTCTCTTTGTAGCATTATCAATGCTGTTACCTGGTAGTACTCTTTCTACTTCTAACCTTATTCTCTTTCCCTATTTCTTCTTGATCCTTCTTTGGTTGTGATATTGAAAAACCCAATCCCTACCTTTCAGTTCTCTTCTCTTAGCTCTTATTCTCTCCCTTCAACTTTTGTTGGTGGTTGTTGGTAGAGGCTCTAAATCTTCTATTTGTCAAGTATTTTTGAAACCTTAAATTGATTTATCATGTATTACCCTAAATTTGATATTTTGATTTGAGTAAATCTAACTTTATCTTATGTCATTTAAAAATTCTAAAGTATTAATTTTTTGATTTTTGAAATTAAACATCAGCTTGTTTGCAATTTTAAATCTTGTTTCAATTTGACATTTATATGGATTATACTAACAATTAGCTTTGATTTTTTTAATTACAATTCTTCTTCTTATTTGGGTTACATTCTTGATAACCCAAAAGATGGTAGAGATGCAACCTAACAACTTAAGAGTATGTATTAAGTTTTAGAAATTGTTGATGTTAACTTCTCTACACTTAAGATATATTTACTCTAAAATATATAAGAAATAAACTAATTTGTAGTTAAACTTGTATGTTGGTTGATGTTTATGGTATCAATGATGGTTGCTTAATGCAGAACCAAGATGCTTAAACTATCAATAATGAGCAACCACAAAATGTAGAAGCTGAATTAGGAGATGATTTCAGACAAGTATAAGAGGAGAGAAAGGCAAGAATCCTGTTAATAGCAAAAGAAAGAAATGTAAGAAAAGATTTGAACTATGGGATCATTTTACTGAGATTGTTGATAAGGATGGGAAAAACAAGGCACTACTACAACAAGTCTTTAGCTTGTAATAGTGTAACTAATGGGACTTCCTTGATGAAAACTAATTTACTAAGTTGTAGTCAGTATGCTGGGTTTAGAAAGAATAAAAGAATGCTTAGCTATTGTGGTGGTGATGTTGAGAATGGTGGCCAAATGCCTTAGGCACCTAAAGATTTGGCCCTGAGTTTGTGAGGAAGGCTTTAGCTGAATTAGTCATAGTTGATGAAAATCCATTAAGTTTTATTGAAAAGCAAGGGTTTAGGAAGTTCTATCTACTTGCATTGCCCCCCTAATTTTAGGATCCCATCTAGAAGGTTAAAAACCAGAGATTGTTATAATATTTTTATATGGAAGAAAAGTTGAAGCTTAAATTATTTTTCAAAGAATCAAGCCAAAGGGTTTCATTTACTACTAATGCATGGACTTCAATTTAAAGACATGTGTCTAACTACACATTATATTGATGAAAATTAGCAGTTGCACAAAAAATCCTAAAATTTGTTATGTTGTATCTATGATTTTGATGATTACAAATCATATTTGAATAACTAGTTTTTTCATATAAGCGTGTAGTTGAACTTCCAAAACATTGCAAAATTAAGTGAAATTGGATTCACTAAAAAGAACCAAAATAAGCTGAAAAATGTGCAGAGAGCCAGCTCCAAAAATCTACAACCTACTCTATAGGATAAAAATTTAAATGCACAGTTTGGCGCACGTGAAAAACGAACTCAAAGCTAACTTTAACTTTGCTGCCAGTTGTGTGGTGCATTTAATGCACAACAATCAAGTTATTTAAAGATTATTTAATATTTTTAAAGTCAGAATCCCAAAGCCAGCTTCATATTTTGCAATCGACTGTGTAGGAAAAAACAATGTGCAGGAAAAAATAATGTGCAGGAAACCTGCAAAGCCGATTGTAAGATTCTAAACCGATTGTACAAAGCCGATTATACTGATACCTTGTTAAACCAAAAAATAAATGAATAATATCTAATAATAACCGCATGCCTACTAAGGCTGTAGGTATTAATCGTTGCGGTTTGCAACCGGCTGCCAGTTGTAAGTTTCCTTCCGTCTGCAACGGTGCAACGACTGCACAATCTAAATGGCACTCCAATGTACTCATTCAAAAGACATAGTTAAATACTAATTTTCATCTCTAACTTTATAAAGTTATATCTTTTTTTATTTTTTCATTATTTTTTATATTATTTTTAGTCTCTCAATTTTAGAAGTTACATAATTTTTATTTTTTTGTCAATTTAAACCATTAATTTTATGTATACAATATTTTTTATATTTTTTTTAAGACATAAAAAAATAACTTAAAAAAAATATTGATATAAATAAAACATTATATCACCTCTCCGACAAATCAAATACATTAAAACCCCTTCAAATAGGTCCCACATTCCCACATTACCTTTTATATTTATAAATTAATTAAGAATTTAACCATTTTATGTCAATTAATTTTAATTAATTAAATGATTCTCTTTTCCCTCCATTGCTCTGGGCTTCAAATTTCTCTCCAAATCAATTGATTTCTACCTCGTAGACAAATCCAA